CTAGTTTCGCCCCTGCATACAGTAGATCATTAGTTGTAAATTGTCTTATACCAGCACTCAGCCAGACTGAAAATTTTTATTTTGCGCAGGAAATATGTTTTCCTTGGAAACGTTGGGCAGAAATGTCAGATATTTTCACAAAACACCAGGCAATCCTGCAGTCAGAACGTGCATTAGGCAATCAATTATTTGTAGGCCACGTGAGTGTTTCCTTCAGATGAGGAAAGAGCCTGGGAACGAGGTTGCTGAAAACTAGGACTGGAAATGACTAAATAGAGTATCTTTTGAATTTTAATGAGCCAATTTAGAGCCAAAATCTTTGCAAATTGGATTGCGACGTGTTTAAATTAAAATAGCAACATTACCAGTTACATCATCCTATGACCTATGTAATTTGGAAGATAATTAACAGTTATTCTACGAACTCGAGTCGATCGCTCATATTCGACGAGAGTAAGTGGAATAACTGTCTTATTATATACACAAGCCACAAGGTCTGAATTCACAGACTTTGCTTTTCGAGTATTTTCAATATTTTTCTATTTTGTTTATGTTTTTATCTTCGCTCTTTCGGCCGATTATTTTTTCAACAACATATATTTTTAACCATTTTAAATTTTAAAAAATTATTTGCTAAGCTGAAAACAATCTGTGGGAGTTTTTTGATTCTGTTTTTAATCCTGTAAAGGTTATAAAAAGCGACAACTGGCCGTTTTCTCGTTTGCAAAAACATCGTAAATTCAATTTGGCCGCCATTTTGTTTTTCTCTACTAGCAGGATATGAGCTAATATCCTGCTAGTAGAGAACCAATCAGATTGCAGAATACCTCATATCCAGACCTTGTGTATATAATAAATGTAGTTATCTGAACTGAAGATGTGGTAAGCTTGCTGGCAAAGGAACATTATCAAGCCTTGTGATTCAACCACTGAAAATTTGTAAATTTTCTTACCCAAAGCTGAGATCGCCAACACAACTCCCAAAGCGAGTAAAATTTTGCTGGACATACTGTGATCTTTTCCAAAACTAAATTAAGGACAAAAACAAATTAATTGAATAAAGTTATTTAGCATATACCTGGGAGGTGGATAGTGCTTTTCACGCAATTTGATTGGCTGCTCAGCTCCGGATATCCTTCACTATTCACCTCCTTATTAGTTTAGTGTCCCTTAGAATCATTTGTATACTTATTGTAGAAATAAATATCAAGTTAGAGAATATACAGTTTGAATTATGAAGCTTTTAGCCTTGCTGCAACAGCTTTAAAATATTTGAGACGCATTTGATAACCAACTTGCTTTCTGGCCCTCAAACACGGCATTTTCTTCGCGCTTTGACGAATCCAGTTCTATACTAGCTAAACATATGCGTATTAAACGACTGTTTTTAATTTGCGATAATCGACTGCCAAAGTTCACGTTCTACCGAGGAGTCTGATGTTGTCGACCTACAGTGAACGACACCAAATTTTAACTCGCGCACAAGCATATATCTGGAAATATCAAATTTGAAATTACTGCCGCTTGCAATTATTCTTATTGTCCAA